CCCCAAAACCCCAAAACCCCAAAACCCCTAGTGGGAGGAGGGGCATTGAAAGTATTTAAGAGGAAATCAACTGGGATTAAAAATGGTTATAGAATTTGTGGGATTACTCGTGCTGCTTGTAGCACTGTATTTGGTGAATAAGATTGTTGTAGCTCCAACCCTGTTCAGGATGAAGTATAGAAGGTATCCGAATGTTCAGATGAGCTCAGAAGCAACTCTTTTTAAAGGAGATCACGCTCTTGTTGAGAAGAATGTTGCTAATAATGCTTTCGGTATGTGGTACTACTACGAAATTGCATTATCTGATAACAAACCAGACCTATATGTCAAATTTATTGGCCCAGAACCTATGTTTGTAATATACTCAACTAAAGCACTTGCTCAATTGAAGAAGCTAACTCCTTCAAAGATTGATAGAGATGAGACCTTTGCTAACAAATTTCTTGGAAAGATATTCCCAACTAGTTTTACCCAAGCAGAGTCGGGCGATAATTGGAGAGCAAGAAGAAACAGTCTAATGAAAGCAATGGGACTTAATTATGCATCTGGATATATTCAGAAATTACTTAGTTGTATGGAACAAGTAGCAAGCCAATGGAAGCCAGGCACTAAATTGGATTTCACCAAAGATTTTGCAGAAGTAGAGTTTTTGTTCATGACAAAAGTCTTGTTTGGCAAGGAATTTGATCTCCAAAATTTTTTATTTGATTATGAACAAGCTGATGGCAAGATAGAACAAATGGATATGCAGAGAGTAATGCAAAAGATTGCTCTAGATACTTTTGAAGGCTACTTGAGCCCGCTTGGAACTCTTTTTCCCTTTATTAATGACTACAATCTTCTCCCTCCTTATACAAGAATCGTGAGAAATGTCAATAGATTGACACAAAGATTACACGATTTCTTGAAAACTTGTGATGATGAGGATGCTGTCTATCTCAAACTTAAAAATGAAGGAGTGTTCACTGAAGATGAGTTAATTCAGGATATGCTTTTGCAATTATTTGCTGGCTCTGACACAACTTCTCACTCAGTTGTAGCCTTGTTTTACTATATTAAAAAGAATCCGGAAGTCTATGAAAAACTTGTGAAGCTTTACGAACAACAAGGGATCACTAAGAATGGAGATCTCCAAAGAGACAAAGTCACCGTTGAAGGGTTTGAAAACTGTGAATATGCTGAGTATGTTATCAAAGAATTATTGAGGCTTGATGTTCCAACGGTGGAAACTGTATCTTACAAGTCTTTAGAAGATGTTGAAATTTGAGGAGTCCCAATTAAGAAAGGAAACTTGTTTACCCTTGGAGTTGCTGGGTTCCACCTTGACAAAAAGCATTGGCATGAGCCCATGAAGTTTATCCCAGAGAGATTTGACCCTGAATCAGAGTACTTTAATTCTCCAACAACAGGAAAGGCTAGAGATCCTCTCAGCTTTGTTCCATTTTCTACTGGCTTGAGAGGATGTCCTGGACAAACATTTGCAAAATTAACGATGAAGATAGCACTTCCATTTTTCTTATCAAATCTTGATTATGATGTAGATGAAGGACTATTAAAGAACGAAAAGGTAAACTTGAGCAATGTTTCTCATCTCCATCTTGAGATAGATATTAAAGCAAATAAGTTGCATAAATAGTTGCTTCAAAAGCCAACATATATCAAGGGGTTTTGGGGTTTTGGGGTTTTGGGG